GCTTTACACAATTGATGTGTGTATGGATTGGGATAACAGTTGTATGAGCCCCTAATAAAATGCTAAAAAAAAAAAAAAGATTTATAGTCTGGGACCCCCCTATGCAAGATTGCCATGAATTAGAATTAACTCAATGTATAGGCTATCCTATGAATAAAAATTAAAATATATAACTCAAGTGAAATTTTGTTTTCCACAAGTAAATTCTCTAGGCAGTAGTTTTCTTATCTGTAAAGGAGGGAGTTGAATCAGTAATGCTTGCAATCCCTCCCTCTCTATTCTAAAATTCTAACTACCAGAATGCTTTTACTTGGAGATAGTATTAAATAATCTACAAATATACTATCTGTCCCGCGATAAACATGTTTTCAAGTGTGACTACGCTTTTCAACCAAAGTGATAAGAACAATGAACATTGAACAACTGTTAAATGATTAGAATACAGACCCATCAGAGGGATGGCACAATTTTCAAAGCAACTTTGTTTTATTGGGAAATTCAAGTCAATAATGATGGGGCAATAAAATCAGTCAAATTCACTAGATTAAATCTTCGAGAATAATCTTTTTTATTACTTATTATGTAAAACTCAGCTCCTTCAATCACATACCTACTGTATTCTGTTTACTATTACAACAATGAAGTGTGAGTCAAAAGACCTGTTTTCCATCTACTTGCCTAACTTCTTATGTCTCTGGTAGCTGACTTACCCTGTCAGAAGCATAAATGATATCAAATAGCCCAAGAAGGGTGACAGGGATCCCCACAGCTGGGCCATTAACCATCGCAATTAGAGGCTTAGGGAAATCTATAAAACAGCCTACAAAATTCCTATAGAAATAAAAACATAAAAGGCATGTTTAAATTTTACAAAGCAGCATTAACAGATGGCAGACAAGACGAAGGTGAGTCTGAAATAAGCCCTTCTAAGTTTTGAAACCTAAACCAGAGGTGCTTTCTATCTTGTCACCTCTCACACTCTTCACCTGGAACATCATTCGAATAGCCTCAATGGAGGTAGACAGCTGAATCATAAAGGTGTACTTTGGCTTGATTTTGAGTTTTGGGCAATTTGGTCTGTGATGTACAATGGGGGCTGGAGACCCAGCAAGGACAATGAAGAGGAACAGAGAAGCCTTGGGTCTGCTTTTGTCTTTCAAGGACATTTAAGTTGCTTAGGACCCGAAGTCATGAGAGCCACACATTGCTGTATCCAGATGAGAGTTTGCTTAACTGCTCTGCCTCAACAGAAGAGGATTTCATCTACAACTGGGGTCCACTTTCATGTTTCCCAGTCACATCTAAGATTGAGTCGCATAAAGATCAGGCACAGAAGTCCAAGTGAAGGAGTGAGTGTCCACCTCTTAACAGAGGCAGGCAAGAGAAATGTGCTCGATCAACACTTCACAATTCATAATGTGTACACCAAAACTAAACTCACTGCCACGGAGTTGATGTGGACTCATATAGCGACCCCATGGGGCAGGCTAGCCCTGCCCTTGCGGGTTTCTAAGACAGTACCTCTTCATGAGAGTAGAAAACCTCATCTTTTTCCCCTGGAGCTGCTGACCTGGTGGTTGCTCAGCTAAATAGCAATGGAATGAACAAGAGTGAGCCCTCTGAAATTGGAACAAATGTTAATCTTACCTCAGTAAAATGGCAGCATTTTGGGCGCTTTTCTCTATATCATCCTGGAGACTATCAGTGAAGTTGTTCAGATCATTACCACTACTGTAATAGTCACCATTTCCTGTGAAAATAAAATCTACAAATTCACCAATCATTCATAAAACTATCACGGAGTATCTACTATGTGCTAGGCTCCATGCTACTGAACTCATTGCCATTGAGTAGTTTCTGATTCATGGTGCCTTGTGTGTTTCAGAGTAGCACTCAGTTCTCAATGACTCATGGAAGTAGATTGCAAAACTTTTCTTCCATGGTGGCACTGGCTGGATTTGAACCATCAACCTTTCAGTCAGTAGTTAAGTGCAAACTGTTTATTCCACCCAGGTACCTAAACTCTAGTACAAACCCATTGCCATCAAGCCTATTCTGACTCAGAGAGAAACTATCAGTTCCATGGTAGTGCCTGGCAAAATATGAACCAGTTATGGTTCTTGCTCTAATTCACAGACTAGTGTGTAAGTAGGATGCAGACCTGGAAACATAGCATGTAAATAATGCAACTATTAGGGTGCTATGATGAAGAGGAATGTAATGTAATGACAGTATGCAGCAGGGGGGTTGGTTACATTAGGGAATTAAGGGACGAACTTTTCAGGGAAAGGACAACTGAACTATGTGAAGGACTGGCACAAGTTACCCATAAGTGGTGGCAAGAATCATTCCATGCAGAGAAAAAAGTATGTGCAAAACTCCGTGGAGGGAGGTGATTGAAGTACATATGACAAGCTGAAAGACATGCCACTGGGTCTGGTGCAGAATATGCCAGGGGAGGAGCCTATGGTAGGAAGAGGACAAGTGGCGTGGTCCAAGCAAGACTCGTGGGACACTCTGACCTTATCCTAAGCACTGGAGAGTCATTAGTCGTGTGTGTGTGTGTGTGTGTGTGTGTGTGTGTGTGTGTGTGTTTAATTATACATAACAATGACCACTTTAAAAATGTTCAGTTCAGTGAGTTTTGTAAATACCTGTGAAAGTATAACAAGATTTAGAACATGTATATGTCATCCTAGAGAGCTCTCTTATGGCCCTTCCCAGTCAGACCTCACTCCCAACCTGTCCAAGAGCAATCACTTTCTGACTTCTAGCATCATAGGTAAATACAATATTTACAATTTTGTATCTGGCTTATTTTGCTGACTTATGTTCTTAAGATTTACCCAAGTGTATATCAGGTGTTCATTCATTTTTAATACTAAGTAGTACTGAAGTTGTCAAGGATTTTGTCTTGCTCCGATCCATAATCAATGCTCATGGAAACCACTTAAGAGAGTAGAAGATGCTTTGCATTGGGTAAATCTACGGCACAGACCTCTTTACAGTGTTGAAAAACAAAGATGTTACTTTGAGGAATATGGTGTGGCCGCCCTAAGCCATGGTGTTTTCAATTGCTTTAGTCATGTGAAAGTTGGACAGTGAATGTAAGGAAGTCAAAAGAATAATCTACATATTTGTATTACGGTGGTGTCAAAGAAGATTGAAAGTACCATGCACTGCCAAAACAGCTAACAAATCTGTCTTAGAAGAAGTACAGTCAGAATGCTCCTTAGGTTAAAAAAAAAAAATGCTCTTTAGAAACAAGAATGGTGAGACTTTGTGTCTAGTTCAAGACATTTCTATTAGCTCCAATATTCAAAAGATACCCTTCTAGATTTCAAAGATATCCATCTATTACAAAGATATTTTCCTCTAAAAGTTTTATGTTTCTAGGTTTTATGTTGATGTTAATGATACATTTTAAATTAGTTTCTGTGTAAGAGGTTAAATGGTGTGTTAGACAGGGTTCTGTCGAGAGATAAAACCAAATTGCTGATAATTTAATATAGTTATAAAGATAATTAAATATATAACAAGAAATGAACTGTTAAATCATATACAGATAAATATATAATACAAGAAATGAACAGGTAAATTATAAAGCACTACAAATGGCTCAGTGCAACTCACAATCCCGTGAGAGAGAGTTGTGAGAGACTGGCAGTCCTTCAAGTCTAGTCTCCTGCCAGATCTTCCTCTATTTATAGAGAGAGCTAGGCTATGTCAGCACAGCAGTCAATCACAAGGCAGGTCACCAACTACCAGCCAGGTCACCAACCACCAGTCCCCAGCTCCAGAGATGTCTTAAAGGGACCTCAACTTACAGCGACACAGTCCACAGGCTAGGCGTTCCACAGGGAGTGTAGCCTTTAAATTGAGGCGCAGAACAAGCAAGGATGCCGCACACTGGTCCGATGATCAAAGAGTGAGAGACAAGAAAGACGAGGCTCACCAAGCCATTTATCTCTCTGCCCTTCAGTTAATCCACCTTGTGTTTATCGGCCAGGCTGGCACAATAAACTATCTCAAATGGGATGAAAGTTAAGTATTTTCTCCCATAAGGGTATTTTAGCTTCTCCAGCACCATTTGCAAAAAACACTCTTCTGTTCCCATTGAATTATTTTGGTGCCATTGAATAATTTTATATGGGAGAAAAATAAGGTTTTTTATTTAGGAAAATATTGGACTGAGCATAGGAAAAGAGGAAGGCAGAGGGGATGAACAGAGATTAGATTAAAGCCTACTTCAGTTTAGATAAGAGTTTGGTGTTCTGGAGTTAATAGAGGAGGAAAAAAAAAGATGAATTCTAGAGATACTCAATAACTGTCATTGAGTTGACGCCGACTCACAGAGACCCTGTAAGACTTCTGTGCGTTTTCAAGACTTAACTCTTTACGAGTAGAAAGCCTCATGCTTCTCTCAGGAGTGGCTGGTGGTTTTCAACAGCCGACTTTGTAATTAGCAGCCCAACTCATAACTACACAGCCACCATGGCTCATCTTTAAATACTAGGGGGCTTCAAAAAGTTTAAAGAAAAATGAGCTGAAAAGATAATGGAATTTTTCCACTTGAAGTTTTTGAAGCCCCTGCATATTGAAAAAGTAAAATGGACTCGACATTGGATGTGAGGGAGAGGCAAAAGCCAATAATAAATGTTGGGATTCTGGTCTGTATGACAGGATAGATGTGGAGCCAGTCACTGTGATGGGGGAATACTGAAAAAAGGCCCAGCAAGATGCGTGGAGCGGTCAAGGAGAAGTGAACAGGCGCATGAATACACCAGCATGGAGCTTTCTAGAGGGTCCTGGACTGGAGACAAAGCATGAAGAGCCCTGGCAGACACTAAGTTGAAGCTGTAGGCAAATACAATGTTATCTAGGAAGAGAAGACGGGGTGAGAAGAGAAGAGTGCTGAGGGTTAGGCCTTCAAGAACATTTCTACTGCTGGCCAGGTGGAGGAATACAGAAGGAGTAACTGGTTATGGGGGCAGTGTCACTGGAGCGCAGGGAAATGAGGTTCTATCCCAAAGGAGTGCTCTGGAAAGTGAGAGAAAGGTCAGTGGACAAATAGCGAAATGAAACTAGCTTGAGCCAGACTGAAGTGGGTCCAAGGACAAGTTTCAAAAGACAGGATTTGAGGTATTGAGAAACAAAGGGCACTACTTGTTTGAATGTTCCTAAAATTTGTTCTACAAAATGTTCCTATGTTATCGCTTCTCGGCCTTTAGGCTAAGATCAAGTGTAGTATCAAAATGTTCCTATGCTTCTACAAGAAGCAAATGTGCCATACAATTTTTTCCCTAACTGCATGAACAAAACTTAAAAAAAAAAAAAGCACTCAACATAGGAAAAAAAAAAGCGCGGAATTATTTTGTGGAGGTAGGCTAAAAAAAAGACCTGATAGTCAAAAGAAAGAAAAGTGGTCTGGGAGAGTTATTGAGAAAAACGAATGAGAAAACCAAATCTATTGAAGAAATGAGGATTCCCTGGGAAGCAGCATGAAGAGATATTATTAAAAAATCACCAGACTTGGAATTCAGGACTGAGATCACGGAGGAAAATACGTGGAACACAACATAATTGAAAAGAACTAAGAGAAAATGGTAGAGAAGAGTGCTAGCAGACCAGACATTTCATTTCCAGAATTAAGACCTCTTTTGAACAGAACAATTGAAATACAAATTTCAAAAATATCCTCTAAGACAAATTTTCTGAAGGCCACAGCAAGCAGTTTGAAAAGGTAGGCATTTGCTAGGGGAAAAGTGTTAAAGCATGATCACAACAAGGAAAAGGAAGGAAGGGAGAAGGCAGGAGGGTCAGTTTTATGGTGGGGGGAGGAGGCGGGCGATAAAAACTCGAAAATTCCCTGTCTTTGAGTCAATTCTGACTCACCTTGTAGGACAGGGCAGAACTGCTTCTGGCCATTTTGTAAAGCAGCTAAAAAGAAAGGTTAGTGTTGGCCTCAAGCTTCTACACACCCATTCTATGGTAGAAGATAAGGAAGCAATACTTAAGAGCCCATATGCTTAGAAGTCTTAGATGTCAGGTGATATACCATGTTAACTTCTTAGTTTCTCTTAGGAGAAATCAATAAATACTGTCCAAAGGTACTAATACACAGTAGAAATATATATGTGTAACCCATGAATAGAATTATTAAAAGTAGTAAAAATATCCAAATAATTAGAAACAAATCATACATAAAATAGAACAAGAAAAATACAGACTATGAAGTAAAAAAAATCACAGAAGAAACATTTTAAATAGAAAGCACATAAGATGGCAGAACTAAAACCTTATATGCCATGAAGACAAATCTAAACAAGATAAATGCACCTTTATAAGAAAAACTCAGAGTAGATCAAAGTGTAAAACCTAGCATGATGCTATGTAAGACATAACCCAAAAATATACTTTAGAAAAGGTATAACATTAAAAGGATGGTTCAAGACATGCTGGAAAGTACAAGCAACACAGATAGGTGTTGTCACATTCATACCCGGCATAGTTAAATTCAAGGCAGCATTTAATGAGATAAGATGGGCATTTTATCATAAAGGATAAATCCCATAATGAAGGCTTATCATAAATCTTTTTAGTGCCAATAAGACAAATATTCACTTTAAGAACAGGAGAAATTGACAAGATTACAACAGTAATAACCCAACACAAACCTACCACCAGGGAGTCAATTCCAAGTGTATACTGCAGAGTAAACACCCACCCCCCCTTTAAGTTTGCAAGGGTGTAAAGTTTTACAGAAACAGACTGCCTCATCTTTCTCTTGTGGAGTTATTAATGGGCTTGAACCACTGACCTTTTGGTTGGTAGCCCAATGCTTAGCCCACTATGCCACAAGAGCTCCCTCTGATTCTAATGAAACCAAACCCACTGCCATAGAGTGACTCTATGCAACCCTTCTGACTCAAAGCAACCCTTTAAGACAGAATAGAGCTGGTTCCTTAGAGATTCCAAGACTGTAAAATTTTCTGGGGGCAGGCAGCCTTGTCTTTCTTCCATGGAGTGGCTGATGGACTGGAACCTCTAATCTTTCAGAAGCAACCCAATTCACCCACTTCCTCACCCAGGCTCCATTAATTCCGTTTTTTCAGTTCAAGGTAGATTAGGAGAAAAAAGAGAAACTGAGGCATCCAAATAAGTTTGACGAGAAAGGGAAGTCTAATAAATATATATTTAACTCTACACTCTAAAAATTAGGGAATGAACTTCCTTTTGAAGTGCTCTGAGATACTATAAAAATCTAGGCATTTTTCAATTCTCTATTTTCAATGTTTCCCTCTCTCTCTCCCTCTCTCTCTCTCTCTATATATATATATATATATTTAATTGCAGAGTTTAGAAATTTGATCATTTCTGATTAGAATAAAACTAAGAATTAATAATAGAAATGAACCCTCACCCCTCAAAATACCCCTTCAACTTTCTGGAAATTAAAAGAACTATCATTGTTAAGAAATAACATGTATTTGGCTGGTAGCTTAAAGACATAAGACATTCATCCAAAGATATTCATTGTCATGTCATTTCATCTATATATCCATCAACAGAAGAATGATGAAACAAATTATGGAATTTAAAACTTACTACTATATAAGAGTGAAAAGAATGATTCAGGATACAGACTGATAATAATATTTTTAGATGTCTCAAAGAAAAGGTGAGAAGAATACGTACTATATCCCTCCAGTTCTGTTAATAAAAGTGGGAGGAAACAAATCAACACATACAACACCCCCACCCCCAAACGTTTTTGGAATGCTTCAAGGAAAACGTTTCTAAGGAGTCGGTCTGGGGTTCCAGGGATTTAGTAAAGTTTAGTTGTTTGTATTCTTTCATATTCTTTTGGACTTTTTCTCTGCCCAAACATTTATTTATGTTACACCTTTAGTTAAAAACAAACAAAACCTTAAATAATTACAAAGAAACCTCTCTCTCGAACCAATTGCCACTTCCAAACTTTACTGTTCTTGTTATTATTTGCTTCGTTCTCTTGAATTAGCTGAGTATTAAAAGGTTCTGCCTCCTCTCTCGTCCATGCCTACCCTCCTTTCCCACATTTAATTGGCCAGTGAATCTGGCTTTCATTTTTGTTATTAAAAGCAATTTGATGTCTCTATGCAATATACATAATTATATAAGTTTTAATGAAAATCAAAAGAAAATAAAATCACTCAGGATTCTGCCATACAAAAAAAAAAAAAAAAAGCATAGCCGTAACATTGATCTTGTGCCCGCTGTGTTCCACGCACTGTCTCTGCCCTCAGCATGCATTATCTCATACAGCCATCTCAACTAGGCAATGGGTTAGATACAGGGGTCCTCAAACTTTTTAAACAGGGGGCCAGTTCACTGTCCCTCAGACCCGTTAGTAGGCCGGACTATAGTTTAAAAAAAAACACAACAAAATGAACAAATTCCTATGCACACTGCACATATTTTATTTTGAAGTAAAAAAACAAACAGGGCAAAAACACCTGGCGGGCCAGATAAATGTCCTTGGCGGGCCGCATGTGGCCAAGGACATTTATCCGGCCCGCCAGGTGTTTTTGCCCTGTTTGAGGACGCCTGATACAGTTTTTCCTATTGAGGAAGCAATTAGGTTATGAGGGAGGGATTTACACTCGAGGAAACCTGAATCTTGAACCTGAGCTTTAACCAGTATGCTTCCAAGTCACATTTCTTCCAAATTCATTTCTACGTCTTCATCAGTCCTGATCCATTGGCACACGTAATATTTCCCAGTTGTAACCAAATATAGTGATTCAAATATAGTTTTTATTTTTATAAAATTCTACTGAAGCATTTTCTATATTGCTGGTCTCTATAATTATATACTTTAACCCTATAACGCCGGAATTTTCAATTTCAGGAAAAATTTTTTGTTTATATTCTTTACTTTCATAGTTATCAATATATTAATTAAATTAATTATATTAATTAAATGTTACGAAAATGTCATGCTCGGTGTTATAGGGTTAATGCTTGTACAATATATGTTCTAGCTCTAGTGGGTATTCTATGGTTTGCTTCATGAATAATGTAAGCACATTAAAAACGTTTTAGCATGTTCACAATTACAAGTAATGCTACAAAGATTCATTTTTTTTGCATAAAGCCTTTCCCTTTTTGGGGATAGTTTCCTTAAAACAAACCCCCCACAATGGGATTCTTGGGCCAAAGGATATAAATATTTTAAATATATTCATATTTTCTTTAGTTACTTACATTTTTGAGGAGCTCTCATGGTATAGTGGTTATGCATTGGGCTGTGATCCTCTCGGTCAGCAGTTCAAAACCACCAGCTTCTCCACAAGATGAGGCTTTCTACTCCTTTAAAGCATTTTGGTCTCAGAAACCCCCAGGGGAAGTTCTACTCTGTTCTACAGGGTCACCATGAGTTGGAATTGACTTGATGATAGTGAGCTTGGTTTATTTACATATTTCTTATTTTCTTAAAAAAATTTTATGTTCCTCAGTTTATTCTGGAAACTATCTCTATTTATTATATATTCAAATACATATGAGATTACAGTGATCTCAAAGTATACAGAAATTATCCATATTCTCCTACACATTTATTAAATGCTAAAGAAGGAACTTATTAACCTATCAATATTTACAGAATTTCATATCATAGGGCTCTCCTAACTTTTAAAAGTATTTATCCCTCGCGCTAAGTCAATTTTTATACAATTAAAGTTTCAGAGACAAAGTGATTCAAATAGGAGCAAAAGAGCTGGCTTAAGAAAAAATCTAGACAAAAATGAAGTATCATAGGTGCTAAAGATTATTTCCATTTATATGTACTATTTTCTTAACATAAATGTGTACCCTAAGAGAGGGTATAAATTAAAATACATCTCACCTAGACAGTGGGCTCCTATGGTTGGGGAATATTATTCAATAAAAGGCCCTGGGACAAAAAGATGAGAGGTAATATCTAAGTAGAGGATGCTTGTCCTACATGAACTTACTGCCATTGAATCAATTCTGACTCTTCTCAACCCTACAGGACAGGATAGAACTGTCCCTGTGTATAAATTTCTGAGATTTTAACTCTTTATGGGAGTAGGAAGCCCCATTTTTCTCCCTTCATTAGCATACTCATCTAACTTATTGGAGAAGTCGAGCAGACTATTTAAAAGGCTCAATTGGCCTAGTTGTTGGCCTGGACCTTAAAGTGATGTTTTATTTTATTATCTTTAACATCATGATTAAGCATATCAGTGAAGGCAGTCCTTAGATTTATACCTGCCAAATAACAACCCTGCTACAAAACACACACAAAACTTTCAATTCTGTTATTTTGCTTATAATGAAGGCAAAGTGTGCATCTGAGTCGAACCGTGCTTTATAAAATTTTCAAGGGCTGATTTTTTAGAAGCAGACTGCCAGACATTTCTTCCAATGTACTTCCGGGAAGGCTTCAGTTGAGTGTGATTATGGTTTGCACCACCCAAGGACTCCAAAACTTTGTTAAAATCAGGTATATTTCAGATTTTTAAAAAAATTTAGATTTTTGGTACCTTCTAATTTTAATTTGCACTCATATATATGGTTATTAACAAGGTTATACTTTTCCTTGTTTGTTTAATCCCTGCACCTTTTCATAGAAATTGTTTATTCATTTTAAATCCATTGCCAATGAGTTGATTCCCACTCATATCAACATTACAAAGGGATTACGAGGCTGTAAATTTTTATGGAAATAGTCTCATCTTTTGCCCTTGGAGCAGCAGGTGGTTTTGAACCACTGACCTTATGGTTAGCAGTCCAATGCTTAGTCCGTCAACGTTACCGGGCTCCTTTACTCACTCATTTATCTAGATCTCAGTACTTTCCTTACCAATTTTTATCTGTGTTTTATGTTATAAATATATCAACCTTTTATCATAGTTTTTTCTTATTTATGAACTAGAGTCCCTCTAAACTGGAAAATATCTTAAGGATTTCAAATCCCTACTTTGTTAAAACACTCTGCCCCTGGCTCTCAAATGGAAATATAATTAAGAAATGAGAAAATGTCTTACCTGTTATCACGGTTATGGCTGAGTCATCTTTGCCTGCTGCTTCAAGTGCAGCCATGAGCTCTTGATACATCTGTATAAATGGGGAAGATGAGGAATCTGAAAACGACAGCTGAAACCCAATGGGTTCACTAAACGCCAGTCCGTTCTATGCAAACTGCCAAATATTTATGTTGTATTTTAATAGCCAAAACTATGGAAAGCTACATCGGAAGGAATTTTCATTCCTCTTATCATTATTTGGTACATATTATGTATGTGGCACTATTGGGGGATATACCCACTGAGTTCTGGGAGCTAAGAAAACATTATAATGTGGAAATGTGGGGAGGGGGGGAAGAAAAGGACAAAGTAGGGGGAACTCAGAGAAGATTGCTAAGACTAGCCTATGAAGTGTAGGTCAGGAGGTAGTCAGAACTTTCCATTTAAGTGATATCCAGTTTCCCTGAAAATAAGACAGTGTCTTGTATTCATTTTTGCTCCCAAAGATGCGCTAGGTCTTATTTTCAGAGGATGTCTTATTTTTCCATGAGGAAGAATACGGTACACATTTATTGTTTTATTAAAAGAGGCCTCGCACTTCCTGTCTGCTCTGGCTGCGCTGTGGCCAACAGTGAGCTGCATGGCGGCGCTCGCCGCTATGGTCCAGAGTCCAGAGTTACGGTAGCTTTGCGGGGGCCTTATTTTCAGGCAGGTCTTATTTTCGGGGGGGATGCCTTATATTTCAGTGAGAGGCAAAACTGTAAGTAGGTCTTATTTTGGGGGGATGGCTTACTTTTGGGGAAACAGGGTATGTCAGTTGTGAGGACATGAAAGAGTAGGCGAGTTTCAGGAAGTCTAGGAAATCTTGATGAGTGCTAAAATAGTGCTATTCCCAAGACACTGTGATGGTACACAAAGAAAATGGACCTAGCACTTTAAATCATCAATATCTCTAAAAATCTTAACTCTGTCACTTACTAACTTCTGCTTAAAGTAGGTAGTTCCTACCTTCTATGAGATTTCGGCATGTAAAAGAATGGTAAAGGTTGATAATGTGGACAATGCATAAACAGACTTTACATAATGTATGAATAAGGGTTAGGAAATAATCCTACTATTATTAGAGTTAGGGTGATGTAGCACAAGAAGATGCCTCGCAAGAGCCAGGATTAGGTATTGAATATATTAGTGCTTTTAGTTAGGATTCCAAGCTTATTAAGTATGTGAACTTGAGCAAGTTACTACTGAATCTTTCTAATGATTTTATTATCAAATAATGGTAACAATAAACTCCTTGTAAAAAGTACTGACACTTCCTAGGAACTCTATGAGAAATAGTCATTATTATTATTATCATCATGCCTCTATAGGAATGAATCAGGGAAAAGGGAAATAAAAGTTTTAAGGCTCAAATGCATTACTAATTGAGTGGCACATATCCAACTTTAGGGAATTATTATTTAAGATTATTTAAATTCATATGTTCTTTTTAGGACTGCCTGGGTGGCACAAACACTTAAGCCTTTACCTACTATCCCAAAGGTGGGCAGTTTGAACCCACTCAGAAGCACCTGGGAAGAAAGGCCCGGTGATCTGCTTCCAAGAGGTCACAGTCTTGTCAACCCGGTGCAGAAGGGTTCCATTGTAAACACACGGAGCTGCTACAAGTTGGAATCCACTCCTGGCCAATTAGTCGGGTGGTATATTCTACTACAATACAGATTAGATATTCAATGGACACACTTCTTGTTCTCAGCTGCTGCTGGGTCTGTCCTTTTGACTTTTAATCCCACTTCAGTACCAAGCATTCAGCTCTGGGTTAGAGTGGCTATTTTGTTATCATTCCTTGTTCAATAGCATACTTGTTTCAAGCAGGGGTGGGTGACAATCTGTATAACCTTGAGTCCTATTCTCTTTTCTATTTGTATAGATACAAACACAAACTGTGAGCAGAAATATACGCACTCTGAAATCTTAATGGCATGAACCTGCTGCTTCTGGGAAGATGCTATGACAGGTTTGTCAACCTTGGAGGGTCTCTATGTCTTTTGATATCAGCAAATAGTTCATATATATTCATTGAATTTACTTTGCTTTCATTATTAGGGAAGTCATTCTGTAGATGCACACCCACTTGAGGCTCACCAATTCTAAACACTGAAAGTTTACCTCTGCTATAGAAGAAGCGGCCATAATTACTAATCTTTATGCACAACCAAAGAAGAGATATCACAAAAACAGGCATACTGCAGAAATGACAATTTCTAAATACAACAGAGAAGAGAAGCACAACAAAGTTCCAGGGAGGGTGGACAGTACCTGGTGATTGAGTGCGTTTTTTTTGGTGGGGCGGTTAAACATTATTTTTGTGATGCCGTCTTCGGAGGTTACCACAAGGGTGTCATATCCAGCCTGCTTCCTGCCGGCACCAGGTTTCCCTGGACTGGAGGGTTCGGATGCACTTAAATTGGACACCAACTCCACATAGTTCTGCCTGGCGGTTTCCTGAAGAAAACATGTAAAAGAGCTCCTAGCCATGGTTAACAAACAAGCCACCCAGAGAAACGTGTTAACCTAAAAAGCACCTTGCAAGGAAGAGAGAGTACACAGAAGTACATCAAGATTTTGAAGGTTCCACTTAAGAGTGACCTGACCATAAACAACACTCGTTTTTCTTAGGGTAAGTACAGCAAGTAAAATAAAAGCACAAGGAATGCAAATTCACCTTGGAGAGATTGCCAAGAGCATTCCACGAGTCCCATTTGGCCTTATTGATAAAATCAAACATTCCTGGTTTGGGCATGTTACAAGGTCCTTCAGTCGCCTGAGAAAAGGAGAGGAAAGGTGAATGATCAAATGTCCATTGGAGTCTTGTGTACTTAAGGTCAATACAGTCCACAGTTCACAAGGAACCCTGATGGTCATCTCCCCCTCCCCAAAAACCTTCCACAGGGCACACCAGGCAATCTGGCTTTCTCTCTGCCTCTCTCTCAGGTTGTTGCTAAAAATACATAAATAATAGGAAAGAGCTAGGGAAGCAAAAAGCTACATATAAACACTACAAATTATTATTTACAATTTGCATATAGACATTAATTTTTTCTTGGTGTCTTGGTTTTAGTCCTGTTCCTGGGTTATTTGTAGTGTTGATTCAGAAAATTACATAGACTTTATCAGCTCTGGTTTCTTAGATATGGCGTTCCACTATATTATAAGCTATTCAGTTATACTAATCTGTCATCCTAGTTTTAAAAAAGAATTCAGATTCACAAAATACAAGGTTAAGACAAAAGAGTTAAGAAATACCTGAAAAAGGATTGGGTATTAAGGGACTTCTATGGTGGCTACTTGAGCTGCCAATCATAACATCAGTGGTTCAAACCCACCAGTCACTCTGCAGCGTTTAAAACAGTGGTTCTCAACCTTCCTAATGCCGTGACCCTTTAATATGGTTCCTCATGTTGTGGTGACCCCTAACCATAAAATTATTTTCGTTGCTACTTCATAACTGTCATTTTGCTACTGTTATGAATCGGGCAACCCCTGTAAAAGGGTCGTTCGACCCCCAAAGGGGCCACAACGCACAGGTTGAGAGCCGCTGCTTTAAAATATATAAAGGTTTGGAAACCCAAAGGGGCAATTCTTCTCTGTCCTATAGGTTCACTATGAGTTTGAGTGTATTAGACAGCAATGGGCTTTTCTTTTAGGTATGGAAGGCTGTGCATTATGGACAGACATGACAAGTTGTATACTGGGAGGCTTGAGAAGAGTGGAAAATAAAGAAAATGTAAAAGACACACATATATGGAAGGGATGAGGGAAATTTAGAGACTGTCAAAAATGAAAGACTTTATAGCACTTTTCATAAATCGAGATCTAAAATGTTCTTCTTCAAATTGCACAGCAAACATTCAGATCCCATTTTTAATAGGCAGAACTGAGTAATTCATTTAAATATTTTAGAAGTGAGGCTAACTCCAAGCTTCTTTATATGAAAAATTCGAACTTTTCTTTTTCTTTGGCATCTAAAAAGACTAAAATAAATTTTATTTATATGAAAACATACGAGTCCGAATACCTCAACAGCAGTGCACACCTAACTCCCCATGTCTATCAACTATCTCACCATCTGATGCTTCATTGACAGTTTACAAAACAAGGCGATTCTCGGATGGTGCGAGTGGGCGACGTCCAGCTGGCAGCGAGCAGTGCAGAGGGGAGAAGCCAGAGGCAGGTGGCTGCGGTGGGTCACGTGCGTGTCAATGTAACGGGGCCATAGGCAAATATCGGGCAGCCATGGATCGATGCAGCCGTACTGCAGGGCCAGTCCCACCAGAGAGCATCTTGCTAAGCTAAGCGAGATGGGTGTACTGATTGCCATGGGAATGACAACAGCGACGCCTGAAGACAGCATTTAATTTATAGTCAGTTGACTTCTTTCTGAAAAGGGTGTCCTGTAGTACTGAGGGCTGAGACGTCGGAGACGCTGGGACAAGTGACGGTGGCTCTCTCAGGAAGGTGGCTTTAAACAGGCCCCGTGCTTCAGTCAGGGAAACAATGCAGCTTTCTGCATCTTTCACCTACACCACGTTCGTAAACCGTCGGACGTGCTCGGCTCGGTGACCTGGCTTGCAGTGATTTTAGTCCAGTAACAGCAGGAGGCAGATGTGCCCCTCTGGGCGAGCGTGTATGCTCATCGCCCTCTTTTTTTTTTTTTTCATTATATGAAAATTTTTTTAAATCATTAGGGGCTCATACAACTCATCTCAATCCATACACACATCAATTGTGGAAAGCGCATTTGTACATTCATTGCCCTCATCATTCTCAAAACATTTCCTCTCCACTTAAGCCCCGGCATTAGGTCATTTTTCCCCTCCCTCCCTCGTGAGCCCTTGATCATTTATAAATTATTATTTTGTCATATCTTGCCCTGTCCGACGTCTCCCTTCACCCACTTTTCTGTTGTCTGTCCCCCAGGGAGGAGGTCACATATAGTTCCTTGTAATCGGTTCCCTCTTTCCAACTCATTCTCCCTCTACCCTCCCAGTATCACCACTCACACCTCTGGTCTGTAGGGATCATCCGCCCTGGATTCCCTGGATTTCCAGTTCCTATCTGTACCAGTGTACATCCTCTGGTCTAGCCAGACTTGCAAGGTAGAATTCATATCATGATAGTGGGAGTGGGGAGGAAACATTTAGGAACTAGAGGAAAGTCGTATTTTTAATCGTTGCTACATTGCCCCCCTTGCCCCCTGACTGGCTCGTCTCCTCCCCGAGCCCCCTCTGCAAGGGGGTATGGTGCACACGGTCTGTAAAAAGCACAGCAGAGGTGTGGGTTTAGACTTGTGAAAGTAAAACGCTATCAGAACTGCTGCTTCAGCAGACAGCTACCTTTCCTCAGGCTCGTTTCAGTGAGGAGTCCCCTCTTCCTCCAACAGGAATTCGGTTTCAGTGAGGTGGCCCAAGTCCCAATTCAGGGCACTGGCTCTCTGGGAAGGCTTTCCCTGAGGCAGCTCTGTAGGAAGAAGATCCTGGTCTCCCAGCTGGTTTCTGGGTTCCATGGAGATCTACATCAGGCCCGGCATCAATCCTCCCCATCTCTGCTCTGCTTAATTTCTCTCCACCGTTCTACCGTGGCTTGGGTGAAAGTTTCCGGAGTGAGTAATTTTCCATTGACAGTTTACACACAATTCGTATCATGACGTGAATGGCAGTCCCTCAATGTCACAGCACTCAGCCCCTTCCTCCCTGGTCTCCCCATTTCCCTCTGCGCATGGTCCCTGCCCCTGCCTGCCTTCTGAGCCGAGTTTCTGGGCAAGTGCTGCCTTTTGAGTCTGGTCTGGCTGGCTGACCCAATTCTGTTCACTTCCTAGGTCTGCTGTTTGTCTGAACGGTGAGCTTTGCTGGGCGGGTTCAGGGTGAGGGCTTGAATGTTGCCTAAGGCCGGCATTTCCCTCCGGGGCTCCATCAAGCTCTACCAGGCCAGCCTGCTGCTCTTCATCGTGGATTTGAGTTGTGTTCTCATTTTTTCCTGCTCAGTTTGGACCCTTCTACTGTGACCCTGATCAGAGTGGTCAGTGGCTAGTTCTGTCTCTGAGGCTTCTCCCTGGGGCTGCTGCTTTGGGTATTTGTGAATGGCATAGCCATCTACTCAGCGCTAGAAGCAGAATGAGGTCAAGGACCCAGGGCTGCAAATCTTTTCATGTTGATGACAGTAATGTAAATCTCTTACACAAGCGGTCAGAACACTGGGATTGTAAACTGGGAAGAGAACATCGAATCCAGTTTGGGGGTGGGGATTAAGAAGCCATAACTCCCCCAAAGATGTGAAGGAAACCTCAGAAGACCCAGGCCTGATTCTGCTGTGCAAAAGAGCTAAAACGACTCCCTGGGAGGTGGTACACAGGCTAATCTTTCAGGGCTAACCCTGCAGTTTAATGTCATGTCTGGCAAACAGAAAGTCCCACCAACCAAAAGATCAGGGGTTCTAGAATCAACTTATGACCAAGAGGGTCGATGGATAATATTCTCTAAAATGACACCAATGTCTCTAAAGTGAACCAGAGACGTATATGAACCATAGACATATGCACGGATTTGGGGCTTGCACATAATTGCAGCCCTGGTCTAAGAGCAATCAGTTCTTATGAGAGGGCCGGGCTCGATGCTCGGCTGCGTGAAACAATTACTGAAAAGACGGGTGCCACAGCAAAGTGTGGGGAAGAAGCCAGATGCAGCCTGGCTAGGAGAAGGAACAGCACGAAAGGAAAAGGAAAAGGGCTCCCTCTCGGAGGAAGATCTCAGGAAAAAGATTTGTCTGTGCCCTGCAACTTCCAAAAGCCAGGACTTCTACCCAGTCTGCTCTGTTTCTACAGTGCTGGGTGCCAAGCACACAACACGAGAGCTTGTGGGATAAACGAATCACGGGATGGGCGAAATCATTTTAGTCATTTCCAGCACGCAACAGACAGAACAAACACTTCCAGATGAATGAACGGACGCAAACACTTGATCCTTCTGGCTCACATCCGTCAGTGACACCATGGCATGTCTACAACACCAGGCAAGGCAATCACTCTGCGATCCCTGCAGTCACATGTCCTGCTCCCCGGAGCTCAGCTCCAAACCGGGGCAGCCGAGGCCCTCCCCAGGGAAACCCACGTGTGCGGGGCCTGGCCTTGCTTCAAGCCCAGGCACGAGGGCCTGGCCGAGCTTTATGACTGGCTTTCTCCTTTCTCGGCTGGCAGACTTTCCCAGATGGGCTCCTTGATGTGTTCTGGCAACTGTTCCAGTTTTGTCTTTGTGACTTCCATGGCGAGCCCTTCGGGGAGGCTGCGCTGGATGTACTCCAAGTACACATCGGCTGTCCTTCCAGTTCGATGCTCCTGCTCAAAACGCCTGCAGTGTTCTCATTTTGTCCTGGACACTGTGCTTCTTGGAAATACGGACTGATTTGAGAAGAGCCAATTGCTCAGTTTTCCTTGGCGGTTCATGTACCTTCACAGAGGTGCCAAGTTCTTTAGCAGCGAGCACAGCAAAAAACTCCGAACTGTCCAACACAGCCTTATCATGGGCTTTGACTGACACGGACAGGCGCTGACAGAACGTGTCTGGCTCCTCAGAAATGGCTATCGTGGGCTTGGTCACATCCTTGGGGAGCTCAACATGTAGGATGGAACACTGTACCCACTCCCTGTTGGTGAGGAGAAAGCCTCCGGTTCTGGCTGGGCTCCTGGGACAGGTGGCAGGCAGACAAGCTCCTGGAGCCCTGCCAAAGGCACCAACCCACGACCCCCAGAGCTGCTTGCCATTTTGTCGCCCGCTCCCCCTAACTTTTCTTTTAAGAGTTTCTGTGCCCAGGTAAAGAAGTTGTGCCATTTTATAACAAGATTGGAACATTTTAATTTTAATAAAAGAGTGAACTCTGACAGACCCATCCCTGTGGGGGGAGGTCAGATGTGCAGGCATTTCCCCCTTTGAAGGCAATCAGTTGCCAGACTGCTGTCTCATCCCACCACAGGGGTGGGCCTGCTCCCTGCCTCTGGGGACAATGGACAGGCTCCTGTAGGAGGAGTTTTCACCCTACTGATAATGTTCCTATGGAGACCCAGAGACCACCCTCTCATTACTGGGTACCCTATAGTGTAACCCCTCCCTGTGACATATGTCTCTACCTGTAATTAGTGGGCTGGCTTGCCCTCAAAAGGTATATAGGCATGGGTCAGCAATATAGGCGGGAACTTCTTGGACCCCTCAGAGTCTGACCTCCCTGACTCTCTTCCCCCTCTCCCTTGTTGCCTTACCCTCCTTCCCTTCCCCCTCTCTCCACGTGGACCACCAAGCTGGGCTGAGGTGAGCAACGTTGCCATGTAACGTGTCTGACTATATTATTGTAATATCTCTCATGCTCTCAATGACTTTAATACAATGCTTATATATCTCAACCGTACAATTGTGTATTACTAAACCCAGAAGTAGTATTACTGAATCCGACTAGTAGTAATAGGAATATTAGCGGTGGGGGCTGGCCCCCCACCCCTCCCTCAGCGTCATTTTTTAAAATTTAATACTACACACCCCTCATCCCAGCTTTTGTGTTTCAGAACATTTGAATCTCTGTTTAGTGTACCAAACTCACTACTGGTTAGTCGATTATAACTCATAACAATGCTTTTGGGGTGAGCAGAACTTCTCTGGTGGATTTCTAAGGCTGAAAATCTTCATGGGAGCAAAAAGTCTTATTTTTCTCTTGCAGCGTGACTGGTGGGTTCATATAGCTGATCTTTTGGTTAGCAGTCAAACGTACAACCCACTACACCACTAGGGCTCCTTATTTATTGTACAGTAACTCTTATTTCTGGCTCTTTAAAAAGAACAAACTGGAGCTGCCTGCTATTTAGTTCCTGATAAAGGTAAAGGGAGACCAAAAAAAAAACCAAAATCATGTCATTGGGTCAATTGTGATTCATGGCAACTCTATAAGGCCTGCCCCTGTGAATTTCCAAGACTGTAACACTTTATGGGGGCAGAAAGTCTCCTCTTGGGGAAAATCCCAAGTTCATGTAACTTGCACTGTTTAAATATATTTTTTGATCAAAGGACACCATGTTAAATATAACCTGATCTAAATATTTAGTACAAACACAAATTATTTTAAATACAGCCAGCATATATCAAAAGATAAAACAGCTGGGGTCTTAAAGGCTTGAAGGTAAACAAGCGGCCATTTAGCTCAGAAGCAACAAAGCCCACATGGAAGAAGCACACTAGCCTGCACGATCATGCGGTGTTGAAGGGATCAGGTATCAGGCATCATCAGAACAAAAAATCATATCATATTGAATGAGGGGGAGTGCGGAGTGGAGACCCGAAGCCCATTTGTAGGCCACTGGACATCCCCTTACAGAAGGGTCTCGGGGAGGAGACGAGCCAGTCAGGGTGCAGGTAGCAACGATGAAACATACAACTTTCCTCTAGTTCTTAAATGCTTCCTCCCTCCACTATCATTATCTCCATTCTACCTTACACATCTGGCTGGACCAGAGGATGCACACTGGTACAGATCGGAACTGGAAACACAGGGAATCAGGGCGGATGATCCCTTCAGGACCAGTGGTGTGAGTGGCGATACTGGGAGGGTAAAGGAAGGGTAGATTGGAAAGGGGAAACCCATTACAAGGATCTACATATAACCTCCTTCCTGGGGGACAGACAACAGAAAAGTGGGTGAATGGAGTCGTCGGACAGGGCAAGGTATGACAAAATAATAATTTATAAATTACCAAGGGTTCATGATGGAGGGGGGAGCAGGGAGGGAGGGGAAAAATGAGCTGATACCAGGGGTTTAGGTGGAGAGCAAATGTTTTGAGAATGATGAGGGCAATGAATGTACAAATATGCTTTACACAATTGATGTATGTATGGATTGTGAGAAGTTGTATGAGCCCCTAATAAAACAATTAAAAAAAAAAGAAGTGTGGAAGGGGGTCAGGGAAGCTAGTAATGGAAGCAAAACAACTAGAATGGGAAAAATGAGAATATTGGACAGCATGGAAAGTGTAACCAATATCAGTGGGCAATATGTCTAGCAATTGTTAAATGGGAACCAAATTTTCTGTGTAAAAATTCAATAAAGTATTATAAACTAAAAATAAAATAAAATAAAGCCAGCATGCAATTCCTCTATTTCAGCTACCTCATACTACATTAAAATATCCTGATTTTTTATGGGCAAGCAGAGTGAAGAGTGGTATAAAGCATATGTCTGTATCTCAAAAACTAGAGCTGAGAGGGGAAAGCCGGTGCCAGTTTAGAATCAGCAGGTCAAACATGCCAGAGACACGTCCAACATTTGAAGCACCAAATGTCTGTTGGCCAGTAACGAGTTCTTCAAACAGTTTACAACGGTCTCGACAGATACATCTACACAGTGTTACAAGAGAAGGGTTTGGGGACGTTATGGGACTCTAATCGTGTAATTCTAACTTAATTTTAAGTTATTTAGTTTTTGGTTAATAATCACATTTCCATACATAATCAGGCAGACAATCATCATGATAAATTGGCAACGGTGAGAAAGAGATGGTGGAAACACCATTCATTCAAGAGTAGGCTAGACAACAAACTGTAGCGGAGGCAGACATAGTAGGAACGACATGGGCCCGTATGAAACTTCACTGAGTGGAAATGCGAATAGCAACTCACTTTTGTTTCAGGTAGACAGAGTGGGTATTTTACAATAAAATATCCCAGTTGAAGATTATGTGGATGGCACTTTAAAGCTCAATTCAAAAAAAAAACATTTGGGGTAAACTAAGGTCCCTCTGGGGCAAACAACAACATTCCTTTCACGTACTGCATTCCAGGTGTGCAGAGATCAGCGCCTAGAAGCTCCAGGCAAAATCGACCTCTCTTTGGGAAAGATAAATTCTTCTATACATAATTATATGACATAAAACAAGCACAGGAAGAGAACACAAACAGGCATCCAGAGGGTATATTTCCTCTTCATCCTGCGGTTTCTGGACATTGAAGCTTTGACTTTGTTTTTCACATTTTATTATAAAAATCTTTAAATATACACAAAAGTAGATCATTATATAATGAATCACTAATGCCTATCACCCAAATTTAAAAACTATCACGTTCTGTCACACTTGTTTCATTTATTTTCTTTCTTTACCACTTAATAACAAACTCTGCTCTTTCACCCCTATATACTCAATCTACATTTCTAAATTGTTTCAACCAGTTCTTTGTAACTATATTATATACAATAATTCCTAGTGATCATCTAAAACCCAGTGCATATTCAAATGCTCCCAATTGTCTCAAAAGATTTTTAAAAATTGACTTATTCTAATCAAGATGCACATAAAGTCTACATGATTTTTCCCCCGACTGAAATACATGAATTACTAACTTACACAATTGTCCTATCTTTTAAGTGTCTTTACTCTGGAATGATCAAATATAGGACAACTCTCACGCGTCTGCTCTTCAGAACAAAGACAACAGTACAAATCCAAAGCAGGAGGTAGCTTAAAAAAACTTCATGGAAAAAGTCTTTTCATACATTTTTTTCACTGAATTTTTTGCATGCAGCCACTTCATATAAAAGCTGGAGTTTAGTAAAACATACAGTATATCTATTTGAAGAGTCATCTACTCAAAATGTCTCTTCATCAGATCTTTGACATTTACCTGCTTATACAGTGCGTAGAGCTTTAGCTTCACTTCATTTCCTGGTTCGTTCTTCAAGCGTTTCACCTGATTCACTGCCATCTCAAAGTCCTTCTGACTGCCGCCCATTGCTATTCTGCTCATGTGCAGCTGAAGTACTGGGAAGCTAATGACTTGCAGAGGACTACAGACACACACAGACAGACAGAAATCAACACTCTGCACTGCTGATTGTTCCTGACTCTTACAGATTAAAATGCTGTGTCAGTATCACGACTTCCTCTACACTTGCCTCAGCAAGCTAGCTGCAACTGGTTAGTGGCTTCCAAATAATTTCTAGGAAAAAAAAAATCAATACAGAAGCAAACGGAAGGAACTTTAGAATAAGAAAAAGAAAGTTAAAATCCACACTACTGAAATGATTCATTATAAGCAATTCAAACTAAGTAAGATAAAACCTTACAGTCAACACCCAACTGGTCCTTTAAATCTTGCCAAGCAAGAAGCAAATGAAGTGTCAAAAGAAATGTAGAAACAGAAGGGTAAAGTGCACAGAACAAATTTAGACATGTGTCCCGATAATCAACAAAGAGCCTCAGCAATTTCATAATCAAACGTAAACCATTACTAAGCCAATTTTCTCCTCAGCAAATTGTATCTCGACTTCTGACTGAGGATGAGGGGAGCACGGGTGAAGAAAAATGCTTGAAAGGAAATAGTAGTAGGTACACTTCACATCTACCTGCTGCAGCTGCTTCACCCACAGGCACAATGTTCAACCAGGCAGGAGCAGATTAGAAACTGCAAAGGCAGCTATGTGATTAGTGTTTTTAAGCAGGGAGGAGAAGGGTACCTGAGTAACTGAGGCCAAAAGAAAAAAAGTAATGTTCACAATGATTACCTCACCTAACAAAGTTAAACGCACCAAAGATGATCAAAATGACACACGAGTTACACTGTCCAAATCCATCAAGTGTCTCACGGCTCCTAAAAGCTATGTAACTTTCACAAAGCACAAAGAACCCGGTTCAAAAGCAATTAAAAAAAAAATCAGGCCACAGGATTTTATATTAAATAATAAAGTTCCATTTTCGAAAGGGAAAATCTCTGTCCTACCCGAATTCCCAAGTAGAAAACGGAAAGAAAAATGTAAGGGGTTCACTCGCTGCCTGCAGTCAAATTCGACCCTAAAAATGGCCGCAAAAGTAGCCCTTTGGGTTTCCAAGCTTCAGCTTTCTCCACAGGCTGCCTCAATGTGTCTGCCAATTCCCACACAGGGACAATTGTGCATTAAATTAAATGCACCATTTACATCAGATTTGGTTTTTAAAAATGATAGCATATATGCATTTAGGAAACTCAAACGACTGGTAATCCCACTACTTAAATTAGGCGCACTCCGTATTCCTGCGCTTTCTGTTTGCTACAGCGATTTTATGTTTTTTATTGGTGACTACACCGGTCACCTAACCCAGCCCACAAGGTTAAGCCAAGGGCAACGTCTTACATTCTAATGCGTTTAGGAAATGAGCAAAGCGGGTTTCGTCTCCAGCATACTGGTCCCTAGGGTGGCACCCCAGAAGCCTCCAGGACGGGGAGAAAGGGAAGATGAGCCACAAGCCCGCAGCTCGGGACGTGTCTTTCAGGAGCTTCCCAGGCGCAACAGAGGAGCCAGCGCTAAGAAAGTGGAAATGGTGTGATATTTCACCCAGAAAAACCCTCAAAAGTCATGCGCGTCGCTGCGGATGCCAGATCCCCGAGCCAGCAGCCCGGAAGGCGGGCGGCGGCCTGCGCCCAGCAACGGCTCCGCACTTACCGAAGGCGGTGGCTCAGCCGCCAGATACTGGCCAGTCCGGCTGCCGCCGCAGCCATGACTAACCTCCAGAGGGGCGTGGGGCGTGGCCACAGGGAGTTGGGCGTGGGGCGTGGCCACAGGGAGTTGGGCGGGGCGTGTGGCCACCGGGAGTTGGGCGAGTCGTGCGGCCACTGGGAGTTGGGCGGGGGGCGTGGTCACAGGAAGTTGGGCGAGGGGTGGGCGGTGCCCGGGACCGGGGTTTGGAACCGCGAGGACCTGGAAGAGGCATTGGTGTTTAGGGGCCTGAGTCCTGGGGCCTAAATCTTGGGACGTGAGTCGGGGCGAGGGGCCGTGGGAGAGGAGCCGAGCACCCGGGTATTCACTGGTAGACGCCTTGGCGGAGAGGGATGCAGATCCATCCGCCATCCTGGCGGAAGAACCGGAGATGGCGATGGAGACCTAGTGCGCCTGATTTTCCCCACCGGTGCTAGGCCGGAAGGGGTCACCTCCTGTGGTTGACTCCGCTGATTCACAAGGTTTGGCAGAACCGATTCATACGTTTTTGTTAAATTCTTCAAACTAGTTGTAAGCTTTAAGTTCCGTTTTAACTTTAGAGTTCTCTCTAAGGTTGGGTGGTAGGGCAGCCACCTAATGTGAAAATCACACATTCCTTACTCCTTTTGGTAGCAGAATTGAAGTTATTTAAAAAAAACCCATTTTATTGCGGGGGGGGGGCGCTCTTACAGCTCTTATAACAATCCATACATCAATTGTATCCAGCACATTTGTACATATGTTGCCATCATCATTTCCAAAACATTTCCATTCTACTTGGGCCCTTGGTGTCAGCTTCTCTTTCCCCCCCTCCCTCCTCCACCCTCCCATCCTCGTGAACCCTTGATAATTTATGAATTATTTTCATTTTCATATTTTACACGATCCGGTCTCCTTTCACCATATTTCTGTTGTTTATCCCCCAGGGATAGGGATGGGTGGGGGTTGTATGAAAATCATTGCTCCTGTTCCTCCTTTCTCTCCTCCCACCTTCCCCCTTCCCTCATGGTGTCACCACTCTCATTATTGGTCCTGAGCGGTCTTAACTCTTTTTTAACGTTCATCTGTGCAACAGGGTATTCTAAGCGCCCGCAGTAATGTCCATTCTATCCATAGGAATAAAAAACTAAATGGAAATATGCTTATTATATTTTCTTTTCAGTTAATAAAACTCGTTATACTTCTGATGGAATACTACATTTTTATTCTCTTGTGTTTGTGACTAGTAAACAAACATAAGCGTAACGAGGAAAAGTGCCAAACAGCCAGAGTGCCATGCCGTCATTCATTTCAGCTTTGTGTCATTCATTTATATTGTGCCCCCAAATTCCCACGAGTTATTAAGAGTGAATTGTGTAACTCCTGACGGTGTTCAAAGAGCTAAAAATATTGTCAGAACAATTATTCTTAAGTTTAATTGAGTAAGTTTAGCAGAAGCAGAAAGGGGTTTTTGAACAATGAACGTATTAAGAGAATAGAAGTCATCTAACAATTTCTAATATCTCAAACATGTTGATTATTGTCTAATTGGCTTACCTCTAAAGGAATGGGATTTGACTACAGTGAAAAAGGTGGATAAAGGTAAATCACACAGCCTATGATGGGATAGATAAAAGGACACCAATCAACAAGCAAAATGGAAATACCTTAAATAACAGTTTTATTATTTTTTGGCAAATATTATTTAATATTTTTTCATTAAATATTTTAAAACTTAGCATCTAGTTTTGTGTACCTCTTACTGTTCTCATTTAATTATTAATCGTATGAAATAATAAGCTACCTTTTGATATATATATTTTTATACTTAACATTAGGACAGCAAATTGTTAAATTATTGGAATCACACTACCGGTCACCTCCCCACTGAGAACCCTTAGCACTAGATCGGATTGATGCTGAGTAGAGATGGAGAGGTGCAGTCAGAGTCAAAGGTGTGACAAAAATGGTTATTCCAACAGAAAGGTTTACAACTGTCTGGTGCTGTGGGTTGTGTGTTGGACTGTGAACTGAGTAATAGGTGGAACCTTTCAGCTCCTCACAAAGAGGAGAGGCATGGTAGTGAGCTTTTCTAAAGATTTACAGGCTCAGATCTCTATGAGGCTATTGTACTCTGTCCTGTAGGGTCACTATTCATGTGTCCAGGATGCCTATTACTGTTTTATCCAAATCCAGAGACCAGTTCTGCAAGCACTTGACAGAAGGAAGCAGTGGGGTTAAACCTTCCCAAAACTGCTTCAAAAATTCAGCGAAAGGCAAGCAAGTTGAGGGAATGTCTCACAGGTTTGTTACACTGCACAGAGGACGTCAGCAATGGGACAAAGGAAGCATAATTCACAGATAAGGGAGGCATCCTGTCACTCTTTGAAGATCTTAGGCTCCATTCCTTATCTAAAGGCTTTGCTTGCCCTGGTGGTTTTGTTCATCCAAACTTGTTGAGTAGAGCATTCTTAAGTTTACAAAGTTTTCTGAAAAGGGGAATTCCGGTGGGGGTTGTTACATTTGTTGTTTGGGGTTTTTTTCCTGCAAACTAAGTCTTGAACAAACCAGATATTAAAGTATGCCACATTTCAAGCACATGCCATATTCCCTACTCTATCACTGTACTGATGGCAGTAGTTTGGTTTGGTTTGGGTCAGGGCACTTGATTAGACATGGCCTCTGGAATATTGTGTTATTAAACATCCTATGGATATTTGCGAGCTTTGCAAAAGCACTTACAAAGCTTTTATTATCTCATCCAGTTCCCATGAACCCCCCCAACTCATCTTTAGCGTCATCTTGAACTTGAGTATGAGGAACTGATGATCTGTTCCAGTCAAGCAGCAGTTTTGGACTGATGAAATTAAGCTTCTCTCTGATTTCTTTCCACAAATGTACTCTCTTTGACTCCTGTGCATTTCATTTACTATGGTCCACCTGCCGAGTCATCATTTATGTTGCTGAAAATGTAATGAATAAGTTGTTGATCTTGCGAGATAGGAGGTAGAATGAAACAGAGAAGGAAAAGAGGCCCAGCAACCTAGCCTTCCCCCATCCCCACCAGAATGTCTGAGCAGTTAACAAAATTTTGAACTAAGTACATGGCCATAACTTGCTTACTTCCTTGCTCATGCCTGTGCAAGACCCAGCTGTGGACAGAACTTGATTAGAACCTGGATTGGTCTGTTCACTGCCCAGGAAGAAGAGTTGGCCAATGAAGCTTGTGCAGTGCATGACCATTCAAGAATACAAAAGTGTCTAGACACTTTTGCCTTCAGTGGTAACTCAGCCGGGTCCTTACCCACTGCATCAGGTGTTTTCGCTTCTTTCCTAATGAATTTCTGTTACTGTGTGCTGTTTTGTGGTCAGCGAATCTATTCTTTGGATTATGAGACTAAGAATCCAGAACAGATTCATTCTGACAGCAACATCTGGGGGCTCATGTGGGATTTGCGGATATGATAAGCAAACAGACCCCTACTTATCTACTTACTTTTGTTTCTCTGATTTTTAGATTATATGAAAATACTGAACCTGTGTTGGTCAGTTAAAAGTAAGTGGCTTGGCTGCTGGTCTTAAGACATACGTGACAGGCTTTCAAGAAAAAAGCCCTTCAACCTCCACCCTTAGCAGCCAAGGGAATGTTGGAATGCCCTGAGCCTGTTATGTTTCAACTATCTTTCCTCCTGTTTTGAATCTGAAGGCTGGGTGTATTCCAAGGATCTCTCGTCTTAACTGATGGATCTCACAACTTTGATCAGAAAACCCATCTCATCCTATCTAAGCTAGAGTCCAGATATCTATATGGACAGTTTCTATTTATTAAGCCAAATCCTTTACCCCCTGCCCCCATCTCATGAGTGCTTTTCTATTCAAATCTCACATAGTTCTACTTAACAGGTTGTTGTCTTGAATGACTGCCCTGGTGTCCTAAAAATTCTAGTCCTGAAAGTTTCGCCTGAATAGGGTGGGCTGGACCATCCCCTGGTTCAGTCATTTTCCCAAAATGACAAAGAAAGGAAGGAGAGAATTCAGGAAACTAGAACTTTTCAAACACAAAGAATGAGACATTTTGTTGTCTGTAGGGAGTTGCCTTTACCCCCTTGTTTTCTTCTTGTTACCACATTCTTAATAGATCCTCAGGGATTCAAGCAGTATGATGGAGCCCTGGTGGTGTAGTGGTTATGTGTTGGGCTGTGATCCATATGGTTGAGAGTTCAAAACCACCCAGCAGCTCCATGGGAGACATCCTGGGCTTTCTACTCCCATAAACAAAAGTTATATTCTCAGAAATTCACGGGGGTCAGTATGAGTCAGCATTAACTCAGTGACAGTGAGTTTGAGTTTATCTCCTCTACGAGGGGTGGCACCCCTGGTCTGGTTGTCCAGATCAAGTCAGTGGCAGATTAGGAGGAGACTTTAGAGGACCTGCTTATGCCTCTGATGACAAGTGGGAAGTAGGTAAAGACTAAGGGAACTTTGCTCTCAACAGTCCACAGGTCCCGTTATTCATTGCACAACCTCTACTTCTGGACCCTGTTTTTAACCTTTTCATTAAATGCCTAGTGGCACCTCCAGAAATATTTTGCTTTGGCAAATGCTTCCTGGGCCTGTCAGCAGTCACAGAAATGTCCTCCCCACAGGTAGGGAGGAGGGTTAGTGTCCTTGTAGGGGTATGGATTATATCCTATCACTCTATGGATATTAACTTATCACTGATAGTATTAGATTTTAGGACAGCTCTTGCAATATTATTTTTGATGATGAATGTGAAACCTCCTCTCTTCAATTTTTTTGAAAATTGAATACTAGACATATGGCATACTAGACAATATGATTGTCCGATTTAAAATGGCAATACCAGTCCATTTTATCTCACAAATGCCTCAGATATTACTATTTATGTATGTGATGACAACGAGATGCACAAAACAAAATACCAGACCGTCACATGTGCAGTTCCTTATAACATGACTATATTGTAAGTTTGTGACTACCTGTACCCAATTGTATTGGGAAATGAAAGTGATAGCTTTTCTACAACTGATATTTGTGGACTGCCTACAGTGCAGCAAGCTCATTCTTTTGGAAATGTTTTAAAGAAAATGGTATTTGCCAACTTTTTCAGAAATAGAAATTGAGGCACAGAAAGATTAATTAGGTGACCTGTTCAAAGCTTGCAGGTGATTCCACCTGGTGCCTAGAATCCATGGACTCTGACTCCTTGTGACTTCTTGTGTGACTGAGCACAAATGTTGAATTGTGCTCAGTAGGGTTTTCGGTTGTTGATGTTTCAGGAATAGATTGCCAGATCTTTCTTCATAGGTGCCTCTGGGTAGACTTCACTCTCCAGCCTATTAATTAGCACTGGTTTGGGACTCTAGAACATGCAGAGTCCAAATTCTAAGCAATACCATTATTACATGTTGATGGCATTAGTTTGCTTCATCGGGTAGATTCAGGTAACCTCAGTTGGGACAGGATTGAAGACCAGACTGCA